GCTGTGCAATAAATGCATCTCCCTCTTTCATTCCTAGCTCTTTCATCTTCCTTCACTAATTTTTTCACATTTCTTAATTTTCTTTCTTCCTTCTTTTTTTTTTTTTTTCTCTTTTTTTGCTTTCTTCTCCTCTTTTAAAAACAAACACCTCTTTTTCCCCATTCTTGGTTTCTTTCCCCATCCACTCTGCTCATTGCCTTCACAGCTGTACGTAAGTCTTGATGCGATGTCAAAGTTGGAGCCAAACTTGTGAACCCATGCAGCTCATATCCCAACAGCATTTATAACCAGAAGGAAAAACTCCCAATTTCTGCAGTAGGTCTGTTAAGGTGAGATGGATTTGTAAGGGAGATGTATTGGAGGCAATGACAGAAAGCACTTGCTACATGGTCACAAACCATCACCACCAAGGGAAGGGCAGCAGCTCCCCGGGTTTCTGGGGACGTGCTCTGTCTCCGCTGTGATGACATCTGTAGGCTGTAGCACACTTGTCCACAGTTTATGGATGTCAGGCAGCCCCACTGGGGCAGCTATCCTTACCAGGCAAGCAGATGTCCTCAAATCCTGACGTATCCGCTGTGCACAGGAACATTTGTTGGGTGGAGGCTCCTGGGAAGCCATGGGGATCCTTGGTTGTGGCACTAACATCAGCTACTGCGTGACCCCAGCATGGAGGGTCTGGAGGGCACATCCCTATGCTCCTGCCGGCTTTTGCAGCCATAATGAGCAGTGTCAGGGCAAAATAGGGGACTGAGGAGACTTCTGTCTGTGACAGAGGTTTGCTATGTCGCTGTGAATGTCACTGCATTTTTGGTGCCTGGATTTGCTACCTTCAGCACAGAGATTGTGTTCCCTTTCTGCTGTTCCCCTCAAATCATCAGCTTTGATGCTGAGAATTTCTTGGTGTTTCTTAACCCTAGTGGAGCCCTGATCTTCAGTTGCACGTCCCCTGAGCCCTGAGGGAAGCCTGCAGCACAGTAGGGTGTTACATGGCATTCCTTATTTCTTCTGTGCTGAGAAAAAGCAAGCTTTTTCACATAGATCTGAGGTCTTTTTAACTGCTGTGGAGGAAGATGTGTCCTAAGCCCAAGTTTCACAGGGTTACATGTAGGTGACACTAGAACAGGGATGACATGATGCCAGACGCTAGGGACTGCTGTCAGACCCAGCGGCACTCAAACCTCCTTCACCAGTGTCCAGCAGCGGTTTCCCCTGTATGGCAGGACCCTCACCGCCCTCTTCCCTGCATGAAGCACTGTCCACCTCTAAAACCAACAGTGCTTTAAAGGCTTTGGTCAGCAAGGAGCCCTCAGCTCCATCCTGCAGGGCTGTTCTGAGCCTTGTCTGGTGACATGGTGGTTTCAGACATAGGGGGGATTAGGGTAAAAAAAACCCAGAGCCAGGGGTGACACCGCATTTACAGGATCTAAGGCAGGGCCAGTCTGTAAGGCATGGTCATACATTTACTTCTAGAGAGAGCAAAGCAGGGGAACCATAGTGCCTTCCTATAGCTTCCCCAGAAGAAGCATGGCCCTGATGGTGATATCCTCCCCACCAGATACCGCTTTCCCTGTGCAACCAGGCAGCTGGGAATAACACTTCACCTTATAGCTGACAACAGAGAGGGCGCAATCACTGCCCCAAGCTTCCTAAATAGCGTACAGCAGCCTTGATCATCACAATGACTGTCACTGGAGAAGGCAGGTGACAGATCATGGCAAGGACTAGAGGACACTGTTTCAGCCTTGCCAAGTGCTGTCACCAGGCCACATGAATCTCATGTTGTCAATGGGCAGCAGAGCCAATGCGTTGCAAGGAACAGGCTCTGGGTTAGACACACGTCCAGGACAGAGAAGCTGTGATCCAGTCACCCGATGCTGCTGCCTCTTCCATGATCTCATTGCTGGCATCTGTCAGCACCATCCTCTGGGGAAACCCCTCATTGTTAAAAGGTCTCCACTCCTGTCAGGGGAACAGAGCTGCTCTTCACTGCCCAGGCTTGTGCAGGGGAAATCCAGCCTCCCTACATAGATCGGTTTCCATGTTTGGTCTTCTTTAGCAATAGAAGAGATGGTATCTCCATAAGTGAGCACCAAGGAGGCCTGGGTGGCTCTCCTCATGTTGAGGAGCTCCCCAGGAGCTCCTAAATCCGGGAGCACTCCAGCAAATGGCATCTCCGGTTGGTGATGAGCACACTCTTGTTACCTATTCTGGGCCTTGCAGCCTGGCAGGATACTCTATTCCTGATGTGCTGGGTCCAACGTCTGACCCAGCTAAAACTCTAGTTAGCTTAAATAAAAGGTTGTATGTATTATAGATATAGAGATATAGGGATATAGAGATATATACATAGAGATAAATATATGGATATATAGATATATCAATACATAGATATAGCCATTTCTATTGTAGGTAAGAAGTCATATGCAAGTGTGGCAAAGTGAAGAAATCTCTTGTCCTGCTTGGAGCATGGAAAGTAAGCAGGAGTTTGCCCCAGATTTTCTCTCTGCTTTTAATACTCTGCATTTTTTAATCTCTCAAACTGGTCAGAGTGGTCATCAAAGCAGCGTGGTCATCCCACATTACATGATAAGGGCTTTGTGATAACCTATTCTGCAGCACCCCAGGGCTCCTTAGAAGAAAAGTGTCATATGAGGGAAGCCACCTCAGACAAGGCTTTCTGAAAAGATAGATGTGTGGAAATTAAAGGCCACTCTTGATGATGTTATATTAATAAACAAACAGTCCCTTCCCTCCCCAGTTCCAGGGAAGCTCTTTTTCCTAGATGGGAATGAAGTTCTTTATGCCACAAGCAGAACATCCGAAATTAGCTGAGGGGTTTGAAGCCTTTGCCAGCCGTGCTCAAACAGCATTATCTCCTGGCTGGGTGCCGGGCCCTCTCTGTCCCTGCTCTGGAGCCACAGCTGGCAGTGGCTGTTAACCCTTGAGGCTGCCACCCACTCCCCCAACAAACAGAGAAAACCATGAGGAGCTTTGCAGACATCATTGATCAAAGCTGCCCCTGTCTGCATGAGAAACACACAGGCTGAAGGCCATGTGGAAGAGCTGACACCTACTGATGTTCTGGAGAGGATCCCACAGACATGCCAGGGTCTCACAAGGCTGCACAAGAGCTTCGTGTTCCTCCTGTGGGTGGAGAAACCCCAGAGAAGTGACTTAGAGATTCATCATATGCGAGTAGTCCAGGGAATTTGTCATCCCTAAAGAGTTTAGCATCCAGGAGGAACTCTAAGGTACTGCTGGTATCTCAGCTCCATGTGGCTTTTTTCTTAAGGACGATGATACCCTGCAAGCAGCATAACTTGAGTTGTTGAATATGTCCTCAATGGCAACTAGGGACTGAAGGAGCAGCTGGAATACCTTTGTTTCTCCCCTTGCAGGGATCAGGTTGGGATCAATGCTCTCCAGCTGCCTTTGGTTGATCACCGTGCCTCTCTACCCGAGAGACTCCCCCTGTGGGACTGTCTCCATGACTCTGGCAGGATGCAAAGCCTGATTGCCATGCACAGCTCCCTCCCTGCTTCTCCCCCTGTTCTCTGTTCAATAATGCTAAATATTATCTCATCCCAGGAATTGATTCCATCTCATGCTTGACTTCACATCTTGGGCCAGGAGAAGCTCTGCATGTCTCAGAGCTCATCAGAAACCTGTGTTCCTTTCAGATGGCTAATAACAAAATGAACACCTTCATCTTGTCCCCTGACCAGATATTTCCTCATGCACAGAGGTGAAATCTCCCCTCTGAAATGCGTCTTTATGAAATAAAATTGTAAGCTAGTAGCAGTAGGACAAGGGGTGATGGGTTTAAACTTAAATATGGAAAGTTCAGGTAGATATAAGGGAGGAATTCTAAGTGATACTAGCTCCAAACTCCTCTGTGCCAGCACTTACAGCATCCTTAGTGTCCTCCTCTGATACCTCCTCCTCTCATCGCCACAATCAGAGCAGGCTGATGGAGGTGTTGACCTGACGCTGCTGTGCAGGCAGGTGGGCTGACATACACATGCCTTAGCTCCGCTCCTGGCTCTGTTTTCCACGCTCATCACAGTGACAGGTTGATAAGGTGTGGGTAGGCACAGACAGCAGAGACCCAGACAGCCCTTTCGGGAGCACAGCAGTAGGGAGAGAAGCAAGGAGATTCCTGGAGAGCATCGGAGCTGCAGGGGAACTGCAACCACAACTGGGAAACACAAGTGAACTTGAGTAAATCACTCCACATGCCACATTTATTCCTCTAGCGCTCATAGAAATGGCAGAGCCCAGCTACAGCTTGGGGTTTATTGGATCGCTGCTGGGCTAACGAGATTCATGGGGAAATTAAAGGTTTATCAGATGAGCTGAAAACAATGTGCTCTGCTGGGAAAAGTTGGATTTGAGTCATTTTGCAACTTGGAGAAGCATTTATTTGAACCATGCTTGACAGCGCTGACCACATATTGTTTTGCAACTGGAGCAGGGTGCCGGGCAATCGCTGCATGCTTGAGATGGAAGGGAAACGTTTCAGTTGCACTCACTGGAGTCTTTATTTCAGGTTTACAGCTTGAAAAATGCTACTGTGATTGTGGGTTTTCATTGCAACTCGTGACAGATTTATTATTCTTCTCTTTGATACCCTGACAACCTTCAGCAGGGAAGAAAACTGTGCTCTGCCCAGCTGTGGCTGCATGCCCTTTGGGGCCAGACATCGCTTTGCAGGGAAGGCTGTAAGTGTGTACATTTAAAACAAGGGCTACCCCAACCCCAGCTGCACAACTGGCTGTTTAACCCAAACAGTAGTATTAACAGTCAACAAGTCAAAGTTGCTCGAGTCCCCAGCAATGACATCTTGCAGTCTGGATGCAAGTGTCCCTGCTGGGCATTGCCTATCTGTACCAGGGTCTGGGTCTGCTTCTGGTTTTGCAAAGCAGAGCCATTGCATGCCCTGTTCAGCTGCTCATGCAGAGGCCAATAGCACCATAGTGTGGGGCACTGGACCATATGCGTGGGACTAATGGCTGTGACAGAGAGACAGGGGCAGATTCCTGCCGGTACAGAGTAGCTGGACACCAGACAGGCTGTGAAATGGTCTCTCCTGCCTCTGTTGAAGCAACAACACTGCACTGTCCTCACCTGCTTAAAGAGAAGACTCTTCTCTGCCTGAATGCTACTGTGGAGCTCCTACGGAGCTTCCCCCCACTGCTGAAGCAGTCAGGTCTGGTGGGTGCATCTCGTCATTCTCCTGACCTTAAGCACCATAATTAAACCAGACACTTCATGTAAGATCTCTATATTCAGCCCAAAGCTCTTGCAAGGCCCCAGCACTTATCACCTCAGCCCCAAAGCTGTGGCAGGAGGCTGACAGCTTGCTCTTCCCCGTGCAGTGAGCCAAGGCTGGCTCAGGAGGAGAGACAGAGGCTGCAAAGTGCGTTAGGGTGAGAAGCACCAGCAGCCCCAGAGCATCCCATGAGAAGGTGGAGGAAATTTCCCGCAGGAAGCTGTAGAACCTGTACCCAGCACGATTTACAGCAGGATTTACACCCGGGATTTACAACAGGGATTGCCTCTGGTAGGCAAACTGAGCACTCTTAGTGATACAGCCAGAATTCCTGGGAGTCACTGAGCATCAGGGATGGGCACAAACCAGCCAGGGTGCTGGATCCTTTGAACAGGTCCTTTCCTGTGGGGTCAAGTGCCTTTTTTAAAGTGAAGGCACTGGCTCTCATTAGCCTCTGACCTGGGCAACCTGCTTGGGGTCATTTTGGGTTTGATCTGCTGGGAGGCAGAGGCAAATCAGGGCTGCTCTGTTTAGTCTTACTCATCTGGCATCTCACTATCACGCTTCTCTCCTGGCTGAACCAGCTGTTCTCCACAATCAGTCCCACTGAGATAGCAAAACTAGCTAAGCATGCTGTTCCCAGTGTGTCCTCCAGCCTACAAACATCCTTATGGCTTCCACACATCAGTGAGGCCCCTGTGCAGATACAGAGCTCTCTTTGAGGCCTCTGACTTGAGCAGGGGATTTCTCAAAGCAGAAGAGAGGTTTGCAAAACTTGTCCTCAGCACTGGGAGAGGCTTCAATGCAGACCCAACCAAACCTCATCACAGTATGGATGTTCTGTCTGGCTGCTCTCTTGCCTTTCATCCTTCTCTACTTCTCCCTTTCCCTCCTGGTGCAGAATGTCTAGCCCAGGTGGTCTTCTATGATGGTACACCAGTCACATAAGTTCCCACCTATGGAGAGGAAAGGAGACCTGTAGGGAAAGCCCAATGAGAACAGTTTTCCATCTTCTCCCTACCTACACGTACTGTTTTTCATGCAGGAGGAGGGGATCCAGGCAGAACTGGAACAGCCCATGGTATCCCTCAGAGACCTGCTGTAGCATAGAGGGGTCCCAGTGAGGGTGCACAAAGCAAAATGAACTACAAGCCTGCCTTGCACCAGAAGCATTGCACAGACTTTTGCACCAAGCAAAGACAAAACAAGAGCCTTGCGGGACACATTCAGCTCCACTTTCTACACTGTCCACGGCACCAGAAGCATCCAAAAGCACAAGGAAGCTCAGAACCAAAGGTGCAGGTTGTGTCCTCTCCTGGGAAGCCTCCTGGAGAAGTCAGGCAGTGGCAATGCCACTGGGAAATGAGACAGAAACGTGCTGCAAACCACCATGGCTGCAACAAAGAGACAAACCTCTGAGTTTCAGTGGAATCTGAGCTAGAAAACTCCTGCAGAAGGCCTCTACTGACTCAGCTTCCCTGCGGTGATGCGACCACAAGCAGCACCAATAAAAGGCCACATAATGGATGTAGCCTCATCTGCTTTGATGAATTTGCTGGCACAACTGCAGTGATGAAGAGAGGGACTTTTTGCTCGCAGGCTTACCTAGGCACACCAGCCAAGCCTTATGCTCTAAATTAAGTCCAAAAGGCTGGAAGAATATAACAGGGTTGTGGCTGAAGTTGAAGGAAATGGCAAATAGCCTTGTTTAGTCTACAAAAGGAGGCTAAAATGCCATAAGATAATAATCTTCCAACATGTAAAATGTTGCTCTAAAGCAGGAGGTGGTCAGTCATCGTCCCTCAGCTCCTGGAAGGAAGACAAGAGTAGTATCCAGCAAAAGTGACTCAGGTTAGATGTGAGGAGTAACTAAAAGGAGATTCAAATACCAGGTAATAAAACTGGAGATAAAGTTACAGAAGAAAGCTGCAGACTCCCCATATCCAAAGGTTTTTAATGACAGATGAGACTAACTGACTGGGAATAGTTTGGGAATACTTGTTCCTCACTTGGTGAAAGAAATCTGGCCTCAGATTTCTCAGAAATCTCAACCATAGAGTCTGTTTTAGGGGCTGGGCATGGGCAAACAGATGGGCAAAACTAAAATATAAAGATACTTTGAAAAGTCATTGCCCACAGAAACAAGCCACTCTGTGAAATATGGAATCCCAGCATTTTGGGCTCTGCTTATTTCCCATCTCCTGTATTGCAGCTATATGCAGTACTGGTCAGACCTCAACCCTGCCTTTATGTCCTTTCCTCTTCTCCAAGCCCTGGGCATGTTTTCCCAGGGAGCAGGGCTGCTATATGATATTAAATAGGTATTTTTAGCACATGCATCACTATGGCATCTCCTCCTGCCTAACAAAGCTGAAGTCAGGCCCTGGACCTGCTGTGACATGAACCTCTGGTTCCCAAGAGCACAGAGGGCAAGCAGCTGAGCTCTGCTTTCCAGATTACACAGTTAACTGGGGCTTCAGGACCAGTCTGATTTATTGATGCTTTCTGAAGCCTGCAAATTGACCTCCTGTTGGTGAGCAAGGGCCAGTTGATCTTCCAAGGTGCTCCTTCTCAAAACAGGTGGGTGAAATCCCTCCTCACCACAGCAGAATAGATGTTAAGCATCAAGCCTATGTCAAAGTCACATCCAATCACCTCCTGGTAGCCAAGTGCTGAACCAGCTGAAAAGGTCACTACCGTATCAGCCAGAACAGCTGGATCTAATAGAAAATGAGTCAAGAAGATGCATAGTCGGCATTGCAGGAATAACAGATGTCTCCCGGGTTGGCTGTACCAGCGTGTTGATGTACTGAAGCAACTGAAAGGAGACTCGCATGACCGCAGCATATCATCCTCTTCCCGTCCACTGAAACTGAGAGGATTCACAGATGTTACACACAGATTTTATGGAGACCAGGTTTCTGCACATGGCAGATACAAGGCAGATCTCACTGCAAAACCTGATCCTGGCAAGGGCCATTTGCAATGAGGGCTGTGGAGATGGAGCAGATTGCAAAGTAATGGATATAACCCAGTTTTGATTTGTATTAGGATTCTGCAGTCTTCAGTCCCAGACCCAGCAACACCAGTGCTGCCACCCTGGACCAGGCATGCCAAACCCCCAGATTTGCCTTTTCACCTTATCATGGAATCCCAGACTGGTCCGGGTTGGAAGGGACCTTAAAGCTCACCCAGTTCCACCTCCCTGCCATAGGCAGGGACACCTTCCACTAGACCAGGTTGCTCCAAGCCCCATCCAACCTGGCCTTGAACACTGCCAGGGATGGGGCAGCCACAGCTTCTCTGGGCACCCTGTGCCAGCGCCTCAGCACCTTCACTGTGTTCCCTTCTGTTGTTGAAGAGGTGATCATGTCTGCAAGTGATGAAAAGGAAAAAACAGCTGCTTAGCTCAGACATCTTTTATTGTCCATATTAAAGGAGACACATGGGGACAAGGTGAGGAAAGCAGCTTGCAGGGAGCAGTGCTGGTAAAGCCTGCAAGTCTGCAGGAACTGTGGTGCTGCACTGGCAGCACCTCACTCCCAGAGCTGTAAAACGGATTAACTTAACAAATTCAGAAAGAAAAAGAAGGCTAAAATAGGAGCCTAAAATAAGAATCAGAATCCCTCTGGTAAATTGCTGAATTCAATCCCTGCTGTGGAAAGCCAGTTGCATCAGGGGGAGTGAGCTATTTTCTGGAGATGTACTGGAAATGGCATGGATTAGTCAGGGAGCAGCAGTAGGTGAGCATCAGTGAGGGAGCCTGTGGTCCCCAAAAAGCTTTCCCACTAGGTTGAGCACCCCAGCCTACACTGGGGGACACAGCAGGAGCCAAGCGGTTGTGGGATGGGATGGGAAGCAGGAAGCACTGGGCTCAGCGCTGCTGATTCAGGCCCCCAGCACTGTGGCAGTGACAAGCAGCTGGTCATCTGGCAAAGCAATTCCTGCCAGGCCAAGTGCTGCTGCTAGTGCAGGAACTGCTTTTGGAAGCAGTTGGCAGCAACTCCCCAGGGAGCGCCAGTGGATGGATGGGGGACAGCAGGAAGGAGGTTTTTCTTACCAGGCTTCAGTCCTCACTCGGACGTGCTGAAACTAGATGCTAAGCCTTGAATTCAAATCCTCTGGTCTTCCTTTTCTGCAGGCTCTTGGTTTTCCCCATCTAAAACCTGTTTGTTGAAGCCACACATGATACCTCCTTGGGAGTTGGGCCCTAAAACATTTGTCCTGAGTTTTAAGATGATTCTGCCTCTTGCAGAGGGCATGGCACAAAGCTGATGGATACTGGGGCAGTGAAAAGAAGCCATGTAATGCAGGAGACTGGGGCTAAGAAACTCTGCTAAGGGAAAACACCTTTCCCATGTGGTAAAAGGGGTCACAAAAGAGAAAACTCCATCAAGCCTAATTCCTGGTCATTGTTAAACCTGGGAAATAATCACCAAAACCTAGGGGTTTATTTTGCTATGTTTTTTTCTCCCCCCCCCCCCCCAGGAGCAGCAGACTGGCACGTAGAGCACTACCTTGTAAATGAGTAACCATTCCTTATGGAGGTATTTACAATAGAGGCACGTGAAGAAGTGCTGGTTGTTAGAAGGGTTTTGGTGAGATCACATGAAGCTGATGACTTCAAGCCTTGCGTCCCTCTGTATGAGAACACCAGGAGAGAGGATTGCATAGCAAACCTCTGTTGTGTCTCAGACAGGTATGGGAGGGGATGTAGAGTTTCCATACCATGCTGTTTCCTGCAGGCAGTAGGTTATGTGTGGTGCTTGTCCCAGAGGTGCACGGTAATAATCCCTTTCTGGCCCTTCACTATGTTTTCCATTGAGCATTGCCTCATTGTAAGAAAGTGTATGGCCAAGTTAGGGAAATTAAATCCCTGTGTGTCACCCGCACTCAGGCTCTGCATTGTAACACCCAGGGGGTGTAAGCAGCCGAGCTGAGTGCCCAGACCCACATTAGGGCTGTGCAGGTTTCTCTGCCCCAAGGACCTGTGGCTATGAGCACCCTCCTATGCAAGCTGCAGCCCCTGGACCCCAAAAGCCAGAGCGAGCCCAGGAGAGGCAGCTCAGCAGGGCCATGGGATGCTGAGCAGGCAATGTGCCGGCTGTCCTCCTGCTCAGCCTGCAGCCTCACCCCAGCTCACCCTGCAGCAGGAAGGAGAAGAGGATCTCTTCCATTCCCCTTCTCTTTCCTACAGGACCCCTCACTTTGTACAGGACCTCTTGTTCACCCATCTGCAGCGGAGGAGGAGAAGAGGAGCCCCAGGCGAGGTCCCTGCCGCCGGGGGGGCAGTGACAACGCGGTGTAGTACTCGGGAGGACCACTGGAGGTCTGCGTGCGTTTGCTTTCTCGCGTTCACTGTGCAGCGCTGCACAGAACGGGATAAACCCCACTCGCATTCCCGAGTCACCCCCAGACCCCATGGGGCAGCTCTGCTCCCCTCTGAGCACCCCCGGGCTCCATAGTGGGGCAAGAATCCAACAAGACACGAGTACCAGATTAGCTCGTCTGGATCCTCTCCACCCAGGAGGCATCTCCTACAGCCAAAACGGCGCAGCAGGACATCCCCTCACTCTCTTTCTCAAGGAGTTTATTGCAGCTCTCCCAAGTTTGAGGTGAATTCACCCTCAGTCCAGTCCCGTATGAAGCTCCTGCCTTCAGGATGTGCAAACCTCCATCCTCTTCCTGGGATCACAGACAGGGTGATGCTGGGGTTGTTACAATAAGGCTGGTTTTGCCAGAGTTGCAGGTTCCTGCTTTCTGAAGACACTTGCTGTCATCCAGCTCCTGCAGCTCTGGTCCTGCACCTCTTACCGGTATCCCCATTGTTGCTTCTCTGGTCCCTGCTGCATCAGTTGCCCTGACTTTGTTTTTGACCAAGTTTAGACATGGCTGTGAGCCACAGGATGATGTCATGAGCGTGTGTTTGCACAGAGGTTTTCATTCCGGGAGGGTGCTCACCCCCTTTCCCAGCTTGACGGACAGACAGGTACAATAACGCCGGCACTGAGGATGCAGGATCACAGCAGTGGCTCAAGGGTGGCTCAGATCGGTTGTGTTTCATCCCAGTTTTACCCAGTCATGACTGCAGGATGGCTTCTTCCCTGCCCTGGCCTCTGTAGGGTGCCAGGCTGTGCTCATTACTCCGGGCTGTGATGCCATTGGATATCACCACGCCTTTTGTGAATTCTCCCAATGCAATGAATACAGCAGCTTCACCACCGTGGAAATGCCACTGGATCTTTTAAACTCCATGAGTTGTTAGGACTTCAGTTTTAAAGGAGATATGGCACAGCGTACCCCACTACCGTGCTTTAGATGTTTCAGGGCTGAAGGTCTCACCTGGGACATACCCCTGTGTCTCTCCTTTCCTATGACCACACCATATACACCATCCTACTCTGCCCGGGAGCTCCAGGAGACAGTGGTGGACCTTACCATGAAGGGAGAGCAGGAAGCAGAGCTAAAGTAAGCAATAGCAGTCAGAGCCTTGCTGCCTGCTTGGTCAAACACAACCATAACATGTCTTTTTATTAAGTGAGCTTTGGAAACCTGCTGCCATGTTACACATCCACAAACCACCCCCGAAATAGCCTTCATCTAAGGTTGGGCAAAAGACAACTGAAATTCAGCTGGGTGCTTGAGAGGGAGGAAAAGGCAGCACAGGCAAAACAGGAGCAGAATGGGGCCAGAGGTACGGGATGTTTTCCTGGTGCATGAGGATGGGCTGGGGAGGAAGGAGGCACAAGAATGGTTTAGGGAAAATGATGGTCAGGTGCAGGAAAGGAGAAGCATTGCTGTTTTTCATAAGCATTGCAGCTTGGAAGAGCAAGGAGATACTAAATGATGGGCTTTTTCACGTGGCAATGATAGAAAATGCAGATAGAAAATGCAGATGGCTTTCCTAAAAATATGAACCCCACCATGTTTGCTTTATGAAGAAGAAATACAGTGCACTTGCCACGTTTCCAGCAAGGCTGAAGCAGCATGCACATTGAAACCTGATGCAGGAGTCACAGCAGATTCCAGGCTGACAGCTTCGTCTACCCCAGGAAAATGGGGACTGCCCCCAGCTCCCCCAAAACCCCTTTTAAGACCCCAGCTGATAATCCTCAACACCTTTCCTGATGCCCAGCACCTTTCCCAATGCCCAACTGGCCTCAAGGAGGATGCTGGGCTCAGTGATGGCTCTGTGGAGGAGTGATGGGAAGAGTGATTTTAAGAACTTGAGGCCCCCCCAGACAATGAAGTGGGGATCAAGCAGATTCCCCTGCCATGGGTTTTGCTTTTCCAGGAAGAGCCCATGTCTCTGCACCACCCAGATAGAGCATCCCCCAACCCAGTGTGCAAAGGGAAGGGGACCTGGGGCCCACTCCCTGCAGCATCAGAGCCTGGAGGCATCACTGAGCAGGAAAACTGGAAATACCTGAAAATTTGCCTGAGCTCCTTGCTGAAAGGCATTATACAAGGAAAGGAAAATCCCAGCGTGGATCAGGTGCTGGAAAAACCAGTGTAAAATCAGCTCTGACATGAGGGCAGCCCGTACAGGGGCTGAGATGACGATATACATTGCCTCTCCTGAGGCCACAGGCACATTTCTGCTGGAGTCTGGGGCACTGGCTGGCCCTTGCAAGCAGTTACAGCGCAGTCTTGCAGGCCAAGCAGAAAATGGGACTTTCCTTTGCTTAGCAGCAGAACTAACTCCCAAATGTAGCCCCAAAACCCCCAAATAATCTTTTCACATCTTAGCCTGCTTTATCATTGCAGAGCTCATCTTGGGCCAGGGTATTTGTCAGTTGTATTCTGAGGTTTTTCCACCTGTGGTTGGTTTGACATCTGATTTCCCTCTCCTCGCCGCAGAATGTCCTCATCTCTTTTCTGCTGTAATTTTCTGCCTATTTTCCTCTTTTTATCTCCCCTGGGTCCTTTTCAAGCTCCTTCCCTCCTGCCTGCTATCAAGCTGCAGTGCCTGCCTTGTAGAGAGGTGAGATGCTACTCACCCAAGCCCCAGCAGCTGCCTTAGAAGAGCATAGGGCTGCAGCCAAACCTTGCTGATCATCAGTTACAACAGTTGCTGTTAAAAATGCCAGCAAAAGAGCTGTTGGTCAAAAGTACAGTCATTAACCTCATGTTCTTCTCTTCTTCCTTAGCAAAGATGGATACACATTGACAGAGCTGTTCATGACGCAGCAGATTTCGTAGTAGCGTTGCCCTGCTGACCCAAGCAGGTAGCCAAAATTTAGGTGGCTGGAGGTTATTTGCAGCAGGAGAAGGAACTGACTGTGGAGACAGGTATTTTTCCAAAGCAGTGTCGCTAATTTACAAAGAAAGTGCAAAGTCCTGCACTAAAACCCCCAAGAAATGAGCATTTCCTGGCTCACACCCTCTGTGTTATTCCCACGTGCATACAAGCTCTCAGGCCACGCATAGTCCTGGTCCCTCCTTTACAACTCTGCACCAACCTCTCCTTGTTTGAAAGATGCTCTAGATAAATCTCCAAATACTTGCTGCATAGCTCAGATTTTAATGTTGCTGTGATCTAGAGTGGGGTTTCATCACCATGGATGTTACTGTACATTAAACGTAAGTTCCCAAAATCCCCGTTCGGGAGAGGATGAAACCACACTGTTTGGGAAACATTTGTATTTTATTCACAACCCACAAAATTCTTTCAACCCAAAAAGAGTTGTGGGAAGAGATTCATCTTCAGTTATCCCCTGGGGAGTCTTCCACAGCTGAGCTAGTCACCCCACACACCCTTTATAGACAAACCCAACTGCTTTTAGCACATGATTCATCCGATCTATTTCAGAGGTCCACATTGGGTTGGGAGGCTCCATGTTTCTCCCCTTTGCTGTGCCTGGAGCAGAGTGCAGCCAGCTCAGACACCAGGTCTATGCCTGTCAGCAGATCCCACCTGACCCCTGGTTGCCACTTCATGGAGTTTCACAGGTTGGAGATAATTCAGCACATCAGGTTTTATGTGACTTACTATTCATGGCACAGAGACAGCTAGGGAAGGATGGATCCTGCATCGCCACTGCAATGGGTCACGGTGCGTGGCAGGACTGGGGAAACCGGGATGCAAGTGTGGTTACTGCCAAACACTCGCATGGCACTGGTGCCGCTGTGATGGCTCCTGAGAGTATCAGTGAATCCAGTGCCCTGGGGTCTGTGCCTCAGGAAAGTGGCCAGCAACAGGCTCTCAGCAGGAATAAGTGCCCCAAAGAGAAGCTGCTGCAAAGATGCTGTCAGAGGGAATGCAATGAGAGCAAATCTTGGGATGCTAATTAATCCCCCTTTAGGGAGATATTTATTAGGCAAATGCCTCACATTCATACGCACATCTGCAGTAGACAGAGAGGCTTTTACTTTCTTCCCAGCCCAAAAAGAGGGAGGATGGCTCCTGCAGCTGAACAACCGGTAGTGCCGCGGGAGCTCAGCCCACTCCGGGCATCCCAGGTCAAAAGTGTGGAAAAAACACTTGGAACAACCAAGGTCCAGGTTGGAGGAGAACCTGGAGGTAGCTGAGAAGAGCTTTAAATATGGATACCTTCTTTCCCTGCTCGCTGATGGAGACATTGCTAAGGACAGGGTGGGAGCCACCACTGCCAGACAGTCTCATCCTGCTGGGATGAGCTGTTCTGGAATCACAGCATTAATATAACCTGGGGCAGCTTTTGCTGTCAACCAGATAATTGCTGAGGTTGATTGATACAGTCCCTGATGAGCAAAGGATTGTGGCTGCTTGTGGCTTTTGCAGAAGAAAGATAGAGCCAGCAGCACCTCTTTCCTTGCTCAGCAGACACTGAGCAGTGGGTCAGGGAGGTTTGCAGGGGACCTGTCTTGGCATTTCCTCACTCCTCAGGTGTGAGGATGCTCTGCAAGAGTAACTGCTCATCCCAAATTGCTTCATTTGCAGTTACACAGATCTCATTACTTCAAGAGTTACAGCAAAATCTAGTTGGAAGAAGATGTTTCAAGTCATTCAAAGCCCAGGCTTGGACAGAAACCCTAACATTTCAGACCGACAACAGGGTATGAGCTTCTCACAGTGGTAATTCTGTTGTGCGCTTGCTGGGTGCTTCCTATAACCTGTAAAGGGAGTGACTCCCTCTGACCCAAGATAAGAGCTGCACTTTGGTGAAGTTAAATAGTGATATTTCCAAGGCTTACCGTTTTTGATTTGCTAATCCACAGCAAAGTCAGCCTGAAGCAGACTCAAACGTCCTCAGCCCCCAGAGCCACACAATCTGCCCTGGTTATCACAGGGCTTTTTCCCAGCTGTAGCAATGGATCAAACATTTATACAAGCTCCTTCTTTACACTGAGCACCGAGGGCTGGCATGACATTCGAACTCTGAACTGTCCATCTTAATTAAGTTAGTTCTATCCATGAGGTTCAGCGGTCGGTCATGGCATGCGGGAGATTTACCCTTAGGTCCTGGAGGAATAAGAGTAAACCCAAGAGCAAAATCCTCAGTGACTTGGGATGACAACTGTGTTCTTAATGACTGAAAGCTCCTGGCAGAGCAGTTGCCTTGCCAGCAAGCTGCTGTTAACAATATCCTTTTCATTCCAGGGCCCCAAATCTGCTGTCTGCGAACCTGACCGGCTTTTGCAATTGATTTCGGTGAGGTCCTTCGTTTTCACTGACATTTGCTTCGGTCAGTCACAGCTGCCTGCTCCTCCTCCATCCCTCCTCCAACCGTGCAGCACCCCCAGTGCCTCCTCTTCAAACCCCTTTACAGAGAGACATGGAATCTTGGCTTTGCAATAGGAAGGGCAAAGTTTGGCTTTCAGACAGCAAGGAAGGACTTGGGAAATCTGGTCCGGTGCCTGTGTCTTCTTTGAGCTACTGCATGATAGTGCACAAATCACTGCTCTCCTCTGGGCCTCGGCCCCCTCTCGGTGGCCAGGGATGACAGTACCCCCTTATCTTGGGGGAACAGGCAATATTAATTACTGTTCATAAGATGCTCAAATGCAGCAGCATAAATAGTAAACAAGTATTTAGTGCCTTTCTAAAGATAGCTCATCTGCAAATGCTCAGGTCCATGGCCTGAGACTGGAACTGGGAGCTCCCCTGGCTGTTATATAAACCACAGTGGGGCTGGCTTTTCTTTTTTTTTTTTTAAGGAATGGGTTGATCTTATTACTGTAGCTCATTTCATAAGTAAGCAACACATCTGACTAGAAAGGATCAAACAAAAATAAATGCCTGCTTAACCCAGGCATATGGAAACTAGGCATTTTTTAATTATACTTTTGAAACAGCAACCTCCTATCTTTGGCCCAAAGCTTTCAGAATTCAAAGGCAAACACTGCCCTGATTTATTTTTTTTTGTCCTTCCCCCATCCACAGGCTTTGCCTTTGTGCTGGTGAATGTGGGGATGCTAGGTCTCTCCCAGCCACAGGAGTCCAACTGATCCTTGCTGAGGTGATACGTGACAGGGGGATGAAGGGATGCTGTACGCTTCACCTCTTCCCATCTCCTTCCCCTGGCAGGCTCCCCTGTCGAGCCAGAGATACTCTTTTTGGCCAACCCCCCTACTGAGCAGCAAGGCTTTATAACCCTACATTCTGCTCTCCAGTTCAGCCAGTGGGAGCTGGGGGTTGCTCTGGCTGCAGTTGCAGACGATGCTCGTTAGAAATACGAACTCTGCGGGCGCTTGAGCCTGCTGCTGGCGAGGCCGTTCGTGCGTGCCCGTCTGAGCAGCCTGGCAGAGCTGCAGCGTCTGACCACCAGCAGGTCCCACCGCCACCGGGGGAAGAGCTGTTCCCCAGGGACAGCGATGCGCGGGGTGCTGGCACCACTCCTCTGGGTGGGAAGGCTTCCAAGCCCTTACCTAATCCTTCCTCCTCTCCCATCCCTCTTATTCCTGAACAATTTCTCTAGTAGAAGAGTGAAGCAATGAAACCACAATGAAATCACCACAGTGAAATCAAGTTTTAGCTCGGAGTAAGACCCAGTCAGTGAGTGCATCTTCCCAAGGACCAAAAACCCCATGAGCTCCAGAGGCAGCAGGTCCCGCACGGTGTCAGGGGCACGGCTGCACTCCTGATGGATCGGTGCACTTCCCAGGGGGTGCAGGAATGGAGCTTATAACGGGGTGCAGGAATGGCGCTTATAACGGGGTGCAGGAATGGAGCTTATAACGGGGTGCAGGAATGGAGCTTATAACGGGGTGCAGGAATGGCGCTTATAACGGGGTGCAGGAATGGAGCTTATAACGGGGTGCAGGAATGGCGCTTATAACGGGGTGCAGGAATGGAGCTTATAACGGGGTGCAGTTATATCGCTGCAGGGATACAACTCAAACAGGAGTGGATACAAGGGTGCCTCTTGGAAAAGGGGATGCCCCGGTGCACCTTGCAGGGCGAAGAGACACGGAACAAACTTTCGGGGGGGGGGGGGGGGGTGCACCTCGCAGGCGCAGCTGAACCGTTCAGGGGTGCACAGGAGAAGCTGAGGGGGTCGCACAGCCGCACCCCACAGCGGTGGCTGCCGCCTGAGGGGCGCACAGATGAAGCTCCCGGGGGACGCAGCTCGCAAGAAGGGGTCCGGCTCCCCGCGCCTCCGCCCCGTCCCTGCACCGGCCGCGCACAGCGCATGCCTCGGGCAGATGCCGGCCGGTTCCAACCGGGAGAGGCCGAAGCTTTTCGGGTCCTGCGAAGAGGAGGAGCCCGTCCTTCCTCCTCCTTGCGCATCCCCCCCCCCGAACCCCGGCTCTTCTCTCCGCCCCGCGCAGCGCCGTAGGCACAGAAGGAAAAGTTACAGACCGGGGGGAGCTGGTGCATGGGGAGGGGGATTTCTTTGGGCTGCCCCCCGCATCCCGCAGTATTCCGGGGTCCGGAGTGCCATTTGGCACCCCGCGATGAATGACTCACCACGGAGCAGCCCCCGCCGCAGCCCGCCGGGACGCGGTGCGGTGCAAGGGATGCCCGGTACCCCCCCCAACCCGCGGCTCCGCGCCCCGCGCAGCGCTGCGCACCCGCACCGACTGTTCCAGAAGCTGCCGGGTGCATGGTGCTTGCGCTGGATATAAATACATAGACACAGGCACACACCGGTGGGGACGGGCAGCCGCGCTGCCGCCCCCCGCGCCGTAGTAATTTGCAAGGGGCGGTGCGGGGATGGCGATAGAGATAAGGGATGGGGATGGAGACGGGGAAGGGGAGGGGCCGCGTCCCGCCCCCCCCGATCACATGTCGACCCCGGGCAGCCAATGCGGGGGGCGCTAGGACCCCGGGGACCCTCGGCCCCCCCCGCACTATAAATGTCTCTCCAAAATGCAGCGGAGTTCCTTTCTCCCGTCCCGCCCGGCCGCGCCGCTCCGCGCCCCGCGCAGCCGCTGCCCGGCGGGTCTCCGTCCTGCTCCGCGCCCGCTCCCTCCCCCTCCCCTTTTCCTTTTTATTTGGTAATTTAATTGGTTTTAGTTAATTTTTTGCTATCCCCCCCTTCCCGTTTTTCTCCTCCGCCCCCTCCGCGCGGCCGGTTTGCATGCATTGTCTGTCTCCCAAGATGGTTTGTGAGACCAAGATTGTGGCGGAAGATCATGAATCAATCCCGGGATCTAAAAAAGACACGATCATTGTTTCTTCCTCCCAAATGTGGCCCTCTTTGGCGGGCTCCCCTTCCACCCCTCCGCCAACCCTCAGCTCCCCAAAAGAGGATCCCAAGCGCGACAATGTCTATATCCGTGAATTCCATCCCTCCGAGCAGGAGGTGGTGCGCCGCATATTTTACGAGGGGATCATGGAGCGGATCCCCAACACGGCGTTCAGGGGGCTGAAGCAGCAGCCCCTCACCCAGCTGCTCTACGGACTGCTGGCCGGTGAGTACCTCATCCCTTTTGGGGAAGGGGTCCAAGGGGTTTTACCCCTCCGGGGTCTGCACAATGTGATCGGAGGGACGGGAGGAGCCGGGGGGGGTGGGACACGGACCCGCAGCCCTGGGCTCTGCGGCGGAGCGGCCTGGGGAGCGCCGCAGCATCGTGCGGGGCGGCCGCGGAACCGCAGCGCTGCGGCGGGGGGGGGGGGTGGCTGCGCCGCTGGGGATGCGCGACCCTACGCGGGGTTTGGGAAGCGGGGAAGTCGCCGCGTAAGTTGCGCGGGGCCGAGGGTAGAGCCGTCCTTCCAGTCATTCCAGGCCTGGAGAACGGCGGGTGGGATGCGAGGAGGGGTGCGGTGGAGGGGAGCGGAGGCGAGGGGGCGCCGCTTTCCGGTGTTGCCTGGAGACGGCGGTGCCCGCCGGCGGAGCCCCCCACAGTGTGATGAGGGGGTGACCCTTGCAGCGGGGCCGAGTCGAGGGGGGGGGGGGGGGTGTCAGCTCCCAGAGCTGCATCCTCAGAACAGCACCTGCAAGGTGACCCCCACCCCGCAAATAACTGCGCCCCGTGCTAATAATTAGCAATGATGTGCCCCCCCCACGCCGCCTCCCAGAGCAAGCTTTGGGCTGGTTTCTCCTGCCCTTGGTGGTTACAGGCAGGTTGCACTCTCGTGCTTCAGCCTGGGGGGACGGCAGGGCCCTGTGCTGGAGGGAGTCCCCCCGCCAGAACAAGCAGTTGGGGTGCAGGGGGGCTCTGGGGGCAGGGGCCGTGCCGGGGGGAGCTGCCATCTCGTGGGCATCCGCAGAAGCCCCTCGGGTCTTCGACAGCACGCCGGCATCGAGGCGGTGCGATGGAAATAGTACTGCCGCAGTGACACACACATGGCTGCGGAGCGGCGTGCCCGCAGAGTGGCTTTTCCATCCCGGCCGGGGAGAGCAGAGCGGGGCTTGGGGGGTCCCTGGTGTCCCCACCATTGTCTCACTGGGGAGGCTTGGTGGGATTTGCCGTGCTATGGCAGCATCCTCCCCACCGGCTCGCTCCAGACACCCCATAAACTTCTCTGGGGTTATCTTGGTGTGTCCCTTAACATGATAATCTCGAGAGCCTGAACTGTGTGTGTACTGCAAATGTATGTTTTGTCTGTGCTTGTTTACTTTTTGGTTTTTAATTTATTTTGTGTAATGAGTTTGTATTCCGAAATCAACACTACATTCTCTTTTCTGACAGGTATCGTTTATTTCTCTTCCTTATCTCCATAGTAATATGCTTTGTTGTGACCAAGTCCTTCCTGCTGACCTGCTGCTTGCCCATCTTTCTGATGGGCATGAGGTACTACTTCAGTAGAAAAGTTATCCTGCACTATCTCGATTGTGCGCTGCATACAGACATGTCCGATATTGAGCAATATTACATGAAACCACCAGGTGAGTACGAATTCCCAGAGGGAGCCTGCTCCCAGCCCTGCTCCTCCGGGAACATGGCTGCTCCGTGCTGCTGGTGCCTTTTCCTCCTGTCAGCAGCACTGAGCAAGCTCAAAAGTCGCCAGAATGCAGCTCTTTAGCCAAATCAGGCACACAGATACCTCTGCTTTTGGTTTAGGTTTTGGGGGTTGGTTTTTCCCCTTCTCCCTTCAAAGATGTCTAGTCATCCAAGGCAGCCTCCATCCATCCTGGAGCGCAGTGCTCCGGGGTCCCACAGCCTGTCTGTGGGGACCAGGATGTAGGTGCTGGGGGATGCTGGGGCTGGGTGATGTGGTTTATTTACTGCAGCCCAGGTCCAACCCAGCCTTTACTTCTTGTGCTTGGTATTTCTTTGCTTCTTGCACTTGGTATTAGCTCTGAGAGTGGGAGGAGGGGATGATGAAACGCCTTTTAGCCCAAACACATAGAGGAACCTGTTTTAGTTATTGCGCCCATTTCCCTGTGTTATGCAAGAAGAGCATGTCTTAATGCAAGTGTTCTGGAAGAGGCACAGATCAGGTATGTAAAGGGATGCTGCCTGGGTTTGATATAATACACGTTCACCCGTTTATTAGATTTATGCGTGTAATTAAAAGTATAGTATCCACTGATAATATTTGGCTGTTCAGCTGTAAAAGACCTCTTACATGATGATTTAAAAAAGAAAAAGGCCCTTTAGAACTTGTCAGGTGCTGTTTCCCTTCTTGTAGGCACACATCCAGGTTGAGGACAAGAGCAAGGGGATGACTGGGCAGTCGCTTGGGATTTGAGGTTTGGTGGTCACGTAGCACAAGCAGTGAGCTGGGAGAGCAAGGCAGTGCCAGTATCCTGGTTAGTTCCATCTTCTCGGGGTACCTACTCTGTCATTTTTCCATGTAACCATGTTTTCACTGTGTCATTGCTGTTCCCTGTGTGCGACTAACCTCGTCCTGAGCACTTCTAGAGGATTCTTGGGAAGCAATACCATAGCCACAAACTTCCCTTCACTTCTACAGTGCTCCTCCTGTAATGAAAATCCCTGAAGACTAGATGTGCTTGCTTTAGATTTCATTTCCCATCATAGTGCATATCTTGTACAGGTCTCGTCCCATCTTACACATGGGTTGTGTTTCATTTACAGCACTTGTTCTTGGAAAAATTGATGTGTGACTTGTATTTAAAAGCCTCCGTTGAAGGTGGTGTTGCAAAGATGAAAGGTCTCCTAAGCAAAACATTTCCAAGCCTCTGAGGTTCAACAGTGTATTATGCTGGATAATGTAGCAGGGGACTCCAGTGGAACAAGAACGTGTACACTAGGTGTTTGAGCTGATTAGTGCTTGGGACTTGTGCGGTCACGATTCAGGGCATGGATCAAAGTGCTTCTATTTAAAACACTATATATATATATATATATATATATATGTAATAAAGGGTCTCGGAAGAAGAGCAATGCCCTCAATTTGTTTAGGGTCAGTAATGTAATCTGGTTCAGTGGTGTTGCCAGCATGTCTTTGAAATGTTAACATTGCTTTTATTTGGTACCTAAAAGGGCTGATTTCAATTTTAGAGCAAACGTGTGGGCTTTAATTTTTGACAGAATTTAACTGTGTGTAATTAGGCTTCTGCCATGCCATAAAACACAGATTTATGGGGTTGGTGGTGCTTGTTTAAGGTTCTTGGTGTTAAGCAGGTTGGCTGGAGTTGTAATTAGATAAAGACCAAAGAGGCTTTGGGGAAGAGAAGGATGTCTGTGGGTCGGAACTGGTACTGCCAGTGATGTCTGTCCATGTGCCGTAAAGCTGTGTGGTGCTATTTGGTGTAGCTGTGCACAAGGCATGAAGCCAGTGTTTTGCTCTTGCTTCCTCCCAAAATACAGTTGCTGGTTTCTTCCCTGTAAGACAGTAGTATAAATGCAGTTATCTTGGAACAGCCTGGAGTTCTGCGTGCTTCAGAGGCTGTCTGACTTGCATTGTCTGCCTGAGTGTATGGAGACAGGCAGTGATGTGCCATATCGGCACTGCCCATCCTGCCCAAAGGACAGAAAAATGACAATAAAACAACTTCCAGCCCCAAGTTTGTCTTTATTTGTCTAGTTTACAAATTAGCACACAGGCAGAAATGCGTGCAGTGGGAATGAGAAGGGCTCCTTGTCCTGTGTAATGCTCCAGCTCAGATATTAGTGAGAGCTTTCTCAATGAGGTGTTAGAGAAGAAATGGCCACAGCGAGGGTAATTTGGTGTGGGAACAGGGGCCCAGAGAGGCTAGAGGTGGTCAGAGCTTGACTAGATGAGTTAAAATCTAGCCTGATGTAACTGCATCCCAGCCTGGCTTTGGCTGGGAGCACAGCAGGCAACTTTTTGCTCCTTCTGGAGAATCCTTCTTTACCTGCTTGAATGTTGTTTTTCCAACATGGAGAATAGAGGAAGGGAGTTTTTTTGGGGTGGTTTATGAATTCTTGTTTATTAGGGTGATGAACACAAAGCTAAAACTGGGATGAGGTTTTAAGGTCTCAGATCTTGACGGTGGTTGTGGCTTTGCTGCGGTTTTGCTCTTAGCGTCTGTGGTACCTGGGTATGAAAACCTGTTTGCAGTGGGCTCCCTGTGGTACCCCGGGCTGGGTACCATTGTACAGAGCATCTATAACAAATAGCCCCTGGCAAAGCAGGCATCTACAGTGAGGGGACACTTTAAGTATTAGAAAGGATCATTCGTGGTGGTTTTGCCAAAGCACCTGCTAAAATTGTGGCTCAGCTTCAAAACCAAACCAAAAAGACCTGATTTGCAATGGGATACTGCAAGCACCCAGCTTAATGACGAGTGCTGAACAGTCCCATGAGTTACATCATATTACAGTGTTTCTGCAGTTTTCTGCTCCTCTGGCTTCCAAGTTATTGTTTTAAATTTCCTCCACTGGGCTTTGTATGAACTGAGAACTATGTGCTGACAGTGGTTCTGCACAGACACACCAGCCAAAATCTGTGCCTTTGTTTTCTCTTGCCCTCCTACACCTAAGCCAAGGATCTGGCAGAACATTTAGGCCAGCACTTGATTCTGAGCTTGTATGCAGCAGGGGTGACTTTTGAAAGGTATTGCTTGTGTTGAGTCCTGTGCTGGCATCTTAAACCAGGAGGTTGAATGGTTCAAACACCTCCCTGAGCTCTTTGTAAACTTGCGTTTTTCCATTTAAAATAGCACTTACAGGAATTTTCCTTTTTAGGCACGGGGTGGAGGAAAAGAAAGGATGTGGATAATGGGCTTAATTGTCAACCAGAATAACTTGGGCTCTAGTAAACAGAGGAAAAAAGAAGGAATTAATTTTAAATAGAGCACTGCCTCTTGCATTTCTCTACGCAAATAAGAGGAGCACAGCTGGAGCTTCTTTTATGGTCTGATGAATTTGACGACTAATCAATTCCACAGTGTCTCTTCAAGCTTCTGTCCCTGTTAGATGTGTTGTATATATATATGTACTGCAGTGGCTGGTGGTGTGTTGGAGAGATTCTTGTGAGGCTGAGGTCTCTGCTGGAGGGTGATGGAAACCCGGACTCCTTCCCTCCGATGCAAACCTGATGCTCTCTGCAATGAGCAGAGACGGGGCTTTAGCTGATGAGCCAGCAGGTCTTTCTTTGTGGTTTGCAGTGTTATCTCTGCTGCCAGCTGTCCCAGCAGGGTCTGCTGAGGGGTGTGCACATGTGCTGTGCTCGTGGTAGTGGGAGCTGGCCTTTCCCCATGGCTTTGGGCACTGGAGATTAGCTGAGTGATTGCATTGCCATGCTCAGTGCCGCAGGGCAGGAGCGACAGGCAACGCAGCTGGGCAACCTGGAGCGCTGTGGCTGCAGGACCTGGTGGAGTCTTGAGGGCATCTGCCTTGGATAATGCAGCAGATGAAGCCCAAGTGTCTGCTGCAGGAGGTGTCAGGTCGCATTAACCACAGCACGCTGAGAGCTGTGGTTTTCAGCAGTGCCTGCGCCTCTGCTCTCCTGCCTCCATCCAGGGCTGAGCAGAGCCTCCCTATCCTGCTACCTTTTGTCCCCTGGTACATGAGGGTGTGGATGAAGAGCCTGGGCTGAGATCCCAACCTCCCTGGGTGATGGGGCCCTAAGGCATTGTAGCATCAGCTATGAATGGAAAAGACCTTTAAGATCATCAAGTCCAACTGTTACCCCAGCACTGCCAAGTCCACCACTAACCCATGTCACTGGGAGGTGGCTATGGGGGGATGGCTCATGAAGGTTCAATTCCTGCTGCTCCTGGGATGGCACATTCCTCAGCTGAGCCCGAAGGAGGGATGTCCTGCCCTTCTTGGCAGAGGTTTTGGGATCACATCCTTCTGCCAGAAGGATACCAGTTGAGGTGGGGCCAGAGCTGGGTTGTGAGGAGGTGATACCCTGTTTGCCCCTTGCTCTTTTTGAGGTGTACCTCGCCTTCAGTGAGACCTTTATCTGGTTTTAATTGTGCTTTTGGATCAGGCCGTTTGCAGCAGGTTTGACCCCAGAGGAGCTGAACTTAGTTTCCATCTAACCCTGTTCACTGAGTGCCAGGCACTGGAGGCTGTGGGATGCACAGCAGTGAGGTTTGGGGTGCAGGGAAAATACAGGGGCCACCATGGGAAGAGATCCTCAGCATGGGAGCTGTGGTTCCTCTGACATGCCCAGACTCTTTGCAAGCCTAGGGGGGGGGTTTCTCCCCACCACGGAACCCAGTTTCTCCACATTCTGGGTAATGCTCAAGCTGCCAGATAAGCAGGAGCGCCGCTGCCGAGTGATAACATTGTTTGGAAAGAATAGAGCAGCAAAGAAAGGGCTTGGTTACCTGAGGCCGGGAGAGGGCTCAGGGCTGCTGCTTCCCAGTACAGGAATGTGTTTTTGGAGACCCCAGCCACACTCGCGGTGCCCAGAGGCAGCTGGAATCCGAAGCATCCCTATCTTCGGCATTTCTTGCTGGCTTATGCAGTGCCCTGACCTCATGTATCTGCCAAACCCCTG